CCATTTCATATTATTTCTATATTTTAGATTGCGTAGTTTTCCATTTTTCTTAATAAAAAAATAAAAACTGTGAAAGTGTTCGAAATGTATATTTATTGTATCCATAAAGTGTTCCATTCGTGTCCAATCAGAAAATAAAATATTCAGTATTGAGAACTCGTGTCCAATCATAAAATAAAATATGCACTATTAAGGACACTTCTAATCCAAGTGTATTCGTATATTCGGCAAATGTTCTAGTGTTGGCCACCTTAAGAAAAATATCCGTGCTTCCTAGGTTAATATGACCCCAGAAAATATGAATCTAAAAATAATAATAATAATAAATAAAAGGGTAGAATCAAGTTAATTACATAATTTATGGAAAAAGATAATAGAAAAAAGAAAAAAGAAAAAAAAAAAAAAGAAAAAAGGCGGTGAACAGAGAATTAGGGACACAAGAAAAGAAAGAAATCTACTATATTTTTCCTTTTTTTTTAAGTGGGAATACATTCAAGTACAGAGCAATTGCCAATGCCTAGGTCCATAAACATGAAGTACAAATACAAGATTCATACAAGCTTTAACTAGTTAGGTTTATGCATTAGAAGAGCCCCCAACACTAAGCATATTGTTGATGCTTGCCGCTCCTTATGAAATCAACTAGTTCTGAATTATATGAAGTTCCCATTATCATGTCATATTAATTCCCTCCACCATTGCATGAAGCTGCTCTCCTCTAAGAAAACCTCAGTGGATACCCCATAATTGTTTATCAAATCCATCGCGTAGCGATCAAACTCAATCAAATTCACCCTTGAGGATTCTTTATCTGCCTGACTGGTTTCTCCAGACTGCAACAATTTGCATGAAAGAATAGCCTCCTCCACATGTGCCCAAAAGCAAGAATCCTCGGTAAGACTGCAAGCTGCAGTTCTCTCGATGACTTGCAAAGTATGGTCGGACGTCATCATTCAGCCACTTCTCGAAGAAGACATAATGTGCAGATCTTCCTTGAGTTATGTACAGTTTACCTTTCCTGTAGTAATCAGCCATGTCAAGTGGTTCAACCATCCTTCTATAGGATGTTCCAGCATAGAGCCAGCGAGTACGGAAGGTTGTTCCCTCCTTGGGGGAAACTTATCTGCCTCTTCGACCATAATCTTCCAGTAATCAGTGAGTCTTCTTTGGTACATAACAGTTCCTTGGTCAAAAAGTTACTGGATGTAATGGATGTCTCTTTCTCAAAAAGTCTAGAGAAGATCGACAATTATATTGATTATATTTCGTCTGTGTTCATATCGTTTGTGTTTTGCATTCACTTGTAGATATAATAGCAAAACACATATATACTATGCATTATAGCTAGACACAAATTGATTTAGGTTCTATTCTTGGTTGCAGTGGACGCCCTTCACTCATGAATGGGATAGCGCGCCCTTGGCAATTGCCAGGAACATTTAGTGTACCTGTTATGATTGAAATTTAGAAGAATTGCTAGCATATTCAAATAATATAGTGTTAGGATGGACATTATATTATTTTCACAAACTCGGATATGTCAATGTGACCCGAAAGTTGACCCGATAACGAATCCTGAATGCGGAAGCGGAAACAAAAATAAAGTCTATGAGGATGTTCGGTATCCCTAAGACACTTTCCATGAAATCACGGAACCCAAAGAAAACAAATGCGGAAGCGAAAAGGTAAAAATAGACCAAGTATGCTACCAAGGGCAAAATAGTCATTTCACATGAAAACAAAGTCTCGACGGATGTACGTCATTCCTCAGACACAAACGTGGCTTCCCATGAAGCCACAGATCTTAAAAGAAAACAAAATGCAGAAGCGATGTTTTAAAAAGGGACAAGTTTAGCCCTAGGAGTAAAATGGTAATTTTTAGAAAGATATGGGTGCTACCGAGCACACCATTGAATAGACAACGAAAAATTAATGAAGATAGACTCAAGAATCACTTGATTTGGAGTCCGGACGAAAGACAACAGTCAAAAACAAAAAAACAAAAATGGACGTCGTCGCAGCTGAGGGGCACCCATGCACGCCCACACACCAATAATAATAATATTGTTGAGGTATGGAAGGAAATAAATAGTACATAGTAAAAAAAAAAAAATCAACAAATAGATATAATAAATGCTGATAATCGGGAGATAAACCAAATCCAAACGGGCATGTTGAATAATAAGAGTTGGGGATGATAGTAGATTTTGGCACAACTGTGCGAAACCAAGTCAAGTCCAACCTTCTGTTGTTGAAGGGTCACAACACTTCCAAAGTTCATGGTCGTAGGCAGTTCATATCAATCTCTATAGAATATGCTTTTGTGCCATTTCAAATGTGTGAGACATATGGCATTGTTTGTTGAGGTGAAAATTCAGAAAAAAACAAGGATGTCCGAGAAATAATCATAATCAAAAGGAAATAAAAACATTTAATCACAAGAAGATAAGATGCATGTATGTGATTTATCCAAAACTTAGTGCTACGCCTACGGAACACACCAAACAAATTCCACTATATAATGAAGAATTCCTCTCAAACTCTCAACTTACTACTATCTCGTGTAGGCACAAAATCACTCAACAATTAAGCCACTCACAATTCTCACACAATTGTCAATCTCACACAGTTTTGCACACCAATCACCTTGCGGCTCACACCATCACACAATGTCACACACCGTAAGGTCTTATTAGGTTGGCACACAAAGGAACCTAACTTGCCTCTCAAGTCTAACCTTTTGGAGAGTCAAAAATTAATTAGTAACTAATTTTCGCAAATCTCCAGATAAACTTGTTCAAAATTTTTTTGAATCAGTTGAGATTACAATCATGTTTAACTAGTTCAGGAAAAAACTTGAACTAGTTCAATTGGGGTTACAATCATGTCCAACTCGTTCAAGAAAAAAACTTGAACCAGTTTAATTGGAGTTACAATCATGTCCAACTTGTTTACGAAAAAATTGAACTAATTCAATTTGTTCAGTAATTAAAATTTGGGTTAATTACAACGACACCTCCTGAGGTTTGATGTATTAACAGTCATGTATAACGTAGCCATTTTTTGAACAATGACACCCCCTGTGAGAATTTTGATCCAAACAAGCCCTTAAAATGTTAAAAAGATGAAATTGCCCTTCAATGTTTAATTCATTTTTGTGGGAAAATATTAGAACTTATGAAAAGTCAATTTTGCCCTTATATATATATACATTATTACATCAACACCATCATATATATATATATAAAACCAAGTCCAACAAAAAATTGGGATAGCAGCACCGTCGCCAACCACAGCCGAGCTCCACCTCCCTCGCCGGATCTGTCTCACCGTCCACAGCCATCCGCCGAGCTCGCCGTCGCTTTCATCGCCGGTCGCAAATCATAGCCGATTTCTCCTTGCCCGCCAATGGACATCATCAAAGCCGAGAGTCCCTGCCGGTGGACATCCAAATCTGTCTCACAGATCCATAGCCACTGGCCAAGCTCGCCGTCGCTCTCATCGCCGGTCGCAGATATCCACAACCGAGTTCTCCTTGCCCACCGATGGACATCATCAAAGCCGAGAGTCCCTCCTCGCTCACCGCCGCAGTTAACCAGCTCGTCTCTACGGCTTCATCAAGCCGTCACAGCTAGTCCGTCACTACTTTGCCGCAGTTCATCCACACCCGTGCTCTCCATCTTGCTCGCCGCCGAGTCTCCACGGCCAGTGGATGCTTTGAAGAAGGCCCGGCACCGCCTCCACTCTCTCCACCACTATTGCCCCTGTACATTCTTTCAAGAAATATATATATATATTTTTGCCCACAAAATTGAAGAAACACATTGGATAGGCACAGAGAAATTAATTAATAGTATGCAATAATTCTCACTAAACCCATTTGCAATCTCTCTGTGTCGTGTTTGGTGGAGGTGGCAGTGGTGGGTGGTGGTGGTTTTGGAGGCAAAATTTCTAGTTTTCAGTGAGAGAGGATAGAGATATAAAATTAGAATTAATAAGGGTAATTCTATCATTTGAAGATTTGGATATTTTAAATTAAAAATTAGTATTTTATTGAAGGGCAATTTAGTCTTTTCTCACCTTTTAAGGGTCTGTTTGGATAAAAAATTCTAGCAAGGGGTGTCTTTATTAACTTTATCAAACCTAGTGGGGTGTCATCGTTCAAAAATGGTCTAACTTGTATATAGCTGTAATTATAGCAAACCTCAAGGGGTGTCATTGTAATTAACCCTTAAAATTTTCATTTGACTTGCAGTGAAATAACCTCCACAACTCAACATTGTTGGTCATTGAAATGGTAGAAAAAACTTGCTAGTTAGTTGTTTAATAATCCATATGCTTATAACCTATCATGCTTAAAATACTTTTGGGATGACATCAGCAGTATCATTTATTACAGGCTTGATTTTAGGGGAGAATTGAGTTCAATTAACAGGAAAGAAATTTGAGTTCAATCTAGTGTTTTTTATTTTTTTTTTGTTCATGGGTTGACATAAAAATAAAAAAATTATTATTATTTCTTTTAAATGTTTTGAAAATAGAATTCTGTATTAAAGATTGAGAGGAATTTAATTTCCTTCCTCAAATCAATATTACATGCAGTTTAGCCCACCCAGTCCAAGTAAATGAATAATGCGTGAGGCAAGTAAATGAATAATGCGTGAGGTTACAGAGAAAGAAATATTAATTACATTCTTAGAAGAATTTGTAATTGTTATAAGCGTGTTAAGATGTTTATAATGTTAACGGAGTGAAACATTTACCATTACATGGGAGGAAACTAAAGAGATTGTGAGCCACGCTGAAGAGGAAAACCAGTGCAATTGTTGGGACAGAAAAAGATTAGGCAAAAAAATGACACTTTGTAGATCTTGTTCCTCATCCACTTGTTCCTCATTCATGTTTTTAAAAGTATTATGTGTTTACTAGTATTACTTCTCATCCAGTGGCATAATATTCATCCACTTGTCAAATAAAACCTCATTTTGGTGACAACCAAGTAAAGAACCTGCAAGCCATTACATAAGCCACTACTTGCAAATTTATCCCACTACAAAAATTCAAATTGCAAATGTTAACACAATTATTCATTCGCTCCATTTTGTACGGCCCCATTGGTGAAGTAATCAACCAAACAAAATAGGTTCAAATGAGAACACCACAAGAAGTATCAAACAGAAAAAAAGGAGCAAAAGGCAAACATCCGTCTCCTCACCGATCAAGCTTGGAAGTTGAGGCGCACCAAATATCCCTAGTACTCGTACTCGCGAGAAAGTGACCTTTCTGAGCGTCGGTATTCACGGTCCAAATCTCGAGTCCTCTCCCTTTCATGCGACTCGGAAGCTGCTCGATCATAATGGTAGTCATCCTCCATTTCATCATACTGATCATTATCACGATCAGGATGATCATAGCGGTCGTGATCACCCTCGACATCCATCTTATCATATTGACGCCGGCCTTGATGTTCATAGTATTCAGCTTTTGGACGCCTATGCCCATGTCCAGACTCTTCATACCAACCAGGATCATCCTCTGGCTCAGCAGGATCATAGTTAGACTCCTTTTCACCATGACGGTCACGATCATGTTTAGATTCCACCTGCTCATAGTCATATTCTCTATCACGTGAACGCTTGCGGTCAAGGTCAGGTTCCCCAACTTCATAATCCCTTTCCTTATCTCTTTCCCTTTCTCGAGGTCGGTCACGCTCCCGATCGCGCTCTCTATCACGGTCTCTGTCACGTTCATAATCCCGACCACGGTCTCGACCCCGATCACGGTCACGTGTTCGGTCACGATCACGACCTCGCTCTCTCTCCTTGTCCCGGTTCCTGTCCCGGTCTCTGTGGTGCCTATCCTCTTTATGATCACGATCCCTTGGCTTGTCATGAGAGCGTTCACGAGACTTCTCCCGTTCTCTCTCTCTGTCTCTTCCCCTTTCACGAGATTTTTCCCTATCCCTGAAATATTGTTATTCAACAGCAACCATAAACATCATATGCAGACATAAGTAAGACATAATAAGGATCTCAAAAAATCTCCACAATCTAACCTAGATTCCATTGAAGGCTTACCTGGTTTTTACTTCAGTCCATAAAATTTCTTGTTAAACTTTTAATTATTATGCAAATATATATATATATATAGATATATATATTTGTACTGGAACACAATAATTAATTGTTTGAAAGTACTCGAGCATTACTGTATTAAGGAATCCATCTCCTAACTGGTCCAATTTGTTTGTGTGATCATTTCTATCCTCCAACAGGTTCTTACATTTGGACAGAAATAAATAAAACCAACAAAACAAGGCAAAAAAGTTACTACAAATATTACCGCTCTCCGTGCCTTTCATCTCGAGTCCTGGGCTCCTCAGACCGAGGTGGTCCTCCTGACTGCTGTAGCTCTCTGAGGATTCAAAGAAGAGCAAGAAGCACATTACATTTCACAAAATAATAACATCCAAAACACGCAGAATCATTTGGTACTTTGTACTGCAGTTGAAGCTCAGCATTATTACAAAGCAATCATAACCTACCTCATTAAACAAGGAGGAAAATAAAGGTTATCAACTACCCGGAGTTAATTTTCATCATAATTGATGTTTTTCAGATTGCAGCTGTTTCAGAGCATTTGCATAAGATTAGCAAATCAAGAGCAAGTTGTATCTTTCTACCATTTGTTCACTCAAAGGGGACCAAGGAAGAAAAAAAAAGGTTCTGCGGGAAACTCCATCTCTTAGCCTACAATAAATATATGCAAATTTTTTTTTTGGTTGTGTATAGTGGTGGGGGTAAGATAAGAGCACACACCCAACCTCATGTGCAATCACTATAGTTCTAATGGAAAATCACTCTCCAAAAATAAATGCAAAATTGTTGTTAGCCTATATATGATAATTAAATCCCAAAACTAAGACGCCTTCTCTTGGCTACCTCCATGTACAATGCATTTCCCATTTTAATTAACATCCTCAAACATTCATATTAATAAAGATCTTGATACCCCATAGAATTTTGTGGCTCCTTTCATCATGCAAAAAAGTTTGTGAAAATGTTGCAACCAGGCTAATTACCTCCCAGAATACTTTTGGTTTACTTCTTCACCTCCAACCCTGGTTGTTCCAAGTCCACCACCAAGTCTGCGAGGTCGCCAATTTGGAACAGTTCTACCACGTTCAACATCCACAAGCACCCTTCTATTATCAAGCTTCTTCCCATCAGCTTGTTTATAAGCAGCTGTATGAAATATACATGCAGCACTCTCAAACCAAATACAAAATATATGAGATAGAGACCAATATAGAAATTAGATTAAAGAATACCTTTCATATCACGCGTGTGCAAATACTCGATGAAACCATATCCTCTGGGTTTACTTGATTCTTTATCTGTAATCAATCGAATCTGAAAATCAAAGGATAAGATAAATAAGCTACTGCCATAGAAGGACAAAATTCTGCAGCAATGAACAGAATGTTATTCCAGATGCTGTTTAACTTTACCAATCAAGTGTGTATTGAAATAGTTAGAAAAAATAAATCCTAATGGCACGGCAGACAGGCATTATGCCTCATTAGCCGTGCTCACCTTTAAATCATACAGCTTCCCCAGGCGAGATGCATCACCACCACTGCTAGAGTTGCAGAAAAACTGATGTATGTGGCCAATTTACCAGTTGCCGAACAAACTAACGTCCCCTTACCAGGGAAATTTATTTTAAATAACAAAGTAATTTGTAAATAATAAGTGAAATACCAGATATCTCCTCAACTGCTGATATGTTTTTTGACAGCCTTTAAAGCCAAAAGTACAATTTTATTAGCATAAAAGCACGTACTACAAATTAAATTAGAAGAGAATGAGATACTAATACTCCCGATATATTTTACCCAGTGCAGGAAAAAGTTGTGAGTCTCCCTTTCTCGCTTGGAAATAAAGGCCAAAAGGCACAATCCATCACCGCTCTGCTTAACTTAAAGCATTCAGCTTTTCCATGCAGTATGAAGCACCATCTTTACATTGAATTGGTAGAAAACCAAAGTACCAAAAATACTTTTTGTGGAACAAACGGATCGCCCCTTACCAGGGATACGGCTTAAACGTTGAACCTTAATGCTATAAAAAAATACCTTTTACTATAAAAAATACAACACCCAAGCCCCAAGGAGATTTCAAAACCAACTATATCCTAGAACTTATCAAAGAGAAACGACAGAAACCCACATACACTAGAAGAGGCAAATAAGCAATGATACCTGTGCAATTTATTACCAGCTCAATGTTATATATTTCAGGGTAAAGATATGCACATTCTCCGTTTTAAACTTGGTGAAAAAGCCAAATAGAACGTGCACAATGTATCACCAGGTGTGCTCGACATCTAAGCACAAAGCTTGACAACTTTGATGCAACCTCGATATGAAGTTGATAAAAATGAGATTTTAAAGAACAAGCATTGCAAAAATAACCATAACGCCTACTATTTAGAGGTCTTACTCAATGTACATGACATATCTTGAAAACACCTTTGTATCCAGATATTCCTCTGTTGTGCACTATGTGCTATGTACTTCGCATAGCAAATATAAGTTTACTTGGCAAGATTAATGCACTATTAGAAAGAGAGGAAAAAGATTTTGTTTCCTCCAAGCTACCACTATATGTCGTGTCACTACTAAGCCCAAGCATGATTTAATAACTATTTAGCCTTGATTTCTTCTCTACAAATTAAAATTTGATTATTGCCACTCTTAAAATTTTGAAACATGATTTATAAAACAATCATATGATATTTTATCATAAGAAAAACTAATATGATATAATAATTATAAAAAACAGTTACCTGAAGTCATGATAGAGTAAATATAAGGTAAAAAACTTAGCATTATGTACGAAATATAAATAAAATTAATATATATAAATATATATATTAACCTCAGCCTCCTAAATATATAAATATATATAGCTACCACATAAGTGAATCTCTTACCGAACCGAAAGGTAATAACCAGAGCCCCCTTTAGGAAGCTCTATAATACCTACCCGTTTGATAGGCCCATAAGCCTCAAACTCCCTTTTGATTCTACTCTCTGTCGTTTCATAATTCTGCAAACAAAAATATACGAGCAATTAATACCAAGCAAATTTTTACTACACACTTGAAAACTGATAATTGGAGAATATCACTCACAAGCCTAGCCACAAACAATGTCTTGTATGGATCGCCAGATATATTTGGGTCATTACTCGGATCATCTGCATAGAAGATTAAAAAATATAAATATTAGAGATAGCAATTTCAACAAGTTTATGATAACTAAAAAGGCAAAAAGCATTATCACATTTCTCAAGCTCCTCAGCAGCTTTTTTCGCACCCTCTTCTAGCCGTAACTGATGTATTCTAGCCCTTCTTTGCACCTTGATCCACCAAAAAAAATCAACAAAGATATAAACAAAACAGAATTAAGTTGCAGAAGAATGCAAAAATGCATTACAATATAAATGGATAAATCTGTTATAGCCCACAATTCTTAACATACAACCGCAGACAATTACTGTAATTGTGTAACGAGATCATTTGTCACCCACTCACCCATCACTTGCAACTTTGATTTCACATCATATACATATGGTAGGTAAACCACATACCAAATTGCAGTATCTTCTTGACTGTGTGCAGTATAGCACATAAACAAGAACAATCAAATTCTTTGATATAAATTGCTGATCTAAATACTTGAATCAATTCCGTCTCTGCAACTTCTAGTGGCACAGGGTAAGATTGTTGTGTCAGGATGTAAGCCATCCTATCATGTATCTAACTGCTGACTTGACAAATTCACCAAAGGCAAGTATACTAGATGTAAAACTACAGATATTGCATATCCTTTTACCGCACCTCACAGTTGGCTAATGCAGATCATAGTCGACGTAGCACTTCAAAATTAATACAGACCATCTATAATGAAAGCAATGAGTATCCCATATAATTATTAGAAGCATCTACAATTTTTTCAAAGTATGACCTCTGGCGAGTTTTACATTGCAATCAAACAAAAAGGCACTCGTTTGCAAACTTCTTTGAACTCCAAAAATTTTGTCCCTTGAAAGCCAAGTTAGACTCAGCAATCACCAGAGCAAATAAAAATTTTACATGCCACATGGATATTAATACATTATCAAAATATTTAGTAAGCACCAATTCAACAAAGATGCATCAAATTTGACATTTAAAAGGCTTCAACTGGTCAGTAAACACATTAAATCTGTTAGTAGTGGTATTAGTAGTGTTTATAATAACTGAGTACACAGATATACTCGTAAAGTATTAGAAAATCAATGGAATCAATAAAAGAACCACACTTGTTCAATAGTAATTATCATGATGAACAACATAAGAAGGCAACCTTCTGGACAAACAGCCATTACATAAAAGCATAAAAAAAACATGGAATATAACTGAATAAAAATCACTTCACAAACAACCTTAAATATTACATTTTAGAGAGCAAAAGTCATTCAATCAAAAATCAAAATTGGATCAACATATGATATAAATCAATAAGAATAATAGGTTCCACACTGAAGGCAGTATCTTACAGGGGTTTCAGCCTCTTGGACAGGTGGAGCATATTCAGAATCTCCTGGCTCAGCAAAGTTACTAACAAATTGCGCCATCCCTACAAAATGAAAAATATAAAATGAAAAAGGGCAACGAAATTTAGAGCTTTAACGCAACAAATTAATGCCAGGTTGATAAAATTCATTAAATGAGTGGAGATATAACCTGTATATGGAGGACATTTTCTCTTCTCTGGAGGTGGTTTGTACTCCAATGGAGGTCGAGGCTCAAATAGCTTCAAAAGGTTAGATGTCAAACCAGTGGGATGACTTTGCCCAATCTGTATTTAAAATAATATGCATATTATTAATTGGCAAAATTACTCAGCAAAAGTCAAAGTCCATTTGAAAACTGTAACATAATACTCTTTATCAATCATCAAACAAGTCTATAAAGGTTTCTAGTATATGCCTTTACTTCTATGCGTAATACTCGACATAAAAGAATTCTTCACATTGATTACCAAGATATCAAACAAAAATAAATAAGAAACAATATGTATGTGATTATTTTGCTTATTCATGCACAACTATTTAGCTTAAAATGGATTGAAATTTTGGCTTTCAGATGTAACAATAGAACAAAACACAACCCATCGATTCATTTTTCATTCTCGTTTTCTCGATAACCAAACACAGCCTCATCAAATTCCACTAAATTCCCTCGCATCCACATCTATTTCAATCCACAACAATCTGTACCAAACTCAATATCACGTAATCCGAAATTAAACCGTAAATTAACTCCAAGGTCAACAAAATAAACCCTAGAATTACAACAAAAAGTCGACGAATGAATTGGATCAGAAAAATACCAGTTTCAGTTGCATAACATTCGCGCGGTTCTGCGCCTTCGCGCGAGCCTGTACGGCGGTGTTGTTGCGCATGAAGGCATCGTTGAAGTCCCCCATCTTTGCAAGGATCGGAAGAGCCTAGGGTTTTTCAGAGATCAACGAATCTTACTGTTGAATTTGCATGCATCTGATGATTGTTGACGAAGAGATTATGGTTTCCAGAGATCTTATCGAATCTTACTGTTGCGATCAAACGGTTATATGGTGTGATGGTCGATGGATCTATGTAGTAAGGTGGAGAAAGGAGCAGAGGAGAGTGATTGCGGCAGCTATAGAGCTAGAAGGGTTTTCGTTTGCCCATTTATATCGACGCTCGATTTGTAACTCGGTCTCCGAGTTGATACCGAGTTTCTAATCCGGAAAGAGAGTTAAATTGCAATTGCGTCCAAAAAATTTTGGATAATTAAAAATCCTTCCATACTTCTTTTTACTCCGTAAAAAAAAATGAAAACCTTTGTTACACAAGCCCTTAAAGCCTCCAACATCTGCAATTACGAGCAAGCCACATACATCTTTTTAAACATTTGGCTTGAGATTTAGAGGGATTTGAAGAGAAAAGAAAAAAAATAATAGAGATTAGTATGTTTGGATGGAAAGAATAAGCGAGAAAAGAAAGGATTTGAAGGGATCAAATTCCTCATTTGGAATCCCTCCAAAATTGACAAGATTTGGATGGACTTGGAGAGAAATGGAACTAATGACAAAAATAGCCTTGACAGAAAGGGAGCGCCGGCTGAAGCTTTGAGAACGGCGACCGAACTGGAACAGTTGTAGGTGCAAAATTTCGCTCAACCAGTAATGATTGAGTAAAATAAAACAACTCACTCAAAAAACAATAAAAATAAATAAGAACAGTATATCGAGAAGCGTAGAATTGCTTGATCGCTTTATTGGAGGTCTTAGCCTCTATTTATATACAAAAGATTGCAAAATTATGGTAGGACTCGCGTTGCTTGCCCTCCAATTCTTTCTATATAAACATTCTTTTCTAATAGAGTTCTTTCCATTGTCGAATTTTCCATACATAGAACTTACCTCGTACAGAACTTCCTATCTCAGAGTTTTCTTTCTACAGTAAATCCTTCAACTGGTAGGACTTGTGCATTCTTGAATAACTGGGCTGAATATATTTTGATCCGGCTGGGCTTGAGTAACAGGCCGGATGTTAAATATTCATAAGCTGGGCTGATGACTTCTTAATTCGGCCTTGCTGGAAGTTGGAGGACAAATAACAATGGTCTTGGGCTGTAAATACCCTCAATTTGGGCTTGAGCATGATGGGCCTTTGGAATGTAGATATGGGTAGTGGTGACGTGTGCGCTTTTTATTGGAGGGAGTTTTTTTTTTCCCTCCACACTTTGCCCCAAATTTCGTTTTTAATTGAGTGACGGCTCCTATTAAAGAGGGAATTGAAACCGGTTTTTTACTTTGCTTCAGAAACGGTTCGAGGTCTTTCATTATTACTCCGTCATACAAGATTTTGCAAGAGTTACATTTGCCCTTGCTGCACTTCTGCGTTCTTCATTCCATCGCTTTGTCGGGTTAGTCTCGCATCTTTCTCTTCAATCTTTCATTATGAGTACTTCATCTACTCCCGAACGAATAGACCTTGGGGATTCTGAATCCACACCTTCATCTTCCCCCGTTCGCATTAGGGCTCCCCCTCCTAGGGTTTCTACAGATCGCCCTTTGTCGAATCCATTAGGTACTTCCCTTCTTCCAACCGGGATATCTACCTCAGGCTCTGATTATGTTCTTACTCATGAAGAGAAGAAAGCAATCATCTCTATTCGCCGCATCAAGTTCTCTATTGCTTCGGTAATGGAAGAATTTGATATTCCTGAGGGAGTAGAAATTGCAGAGTATCCCTAGGGTGCCGATTTTACCTCCGGCAAGGGAATTGAGGAGGATGAGTTGCTTCTTTCGGTGGGGTATCTTAATGCCCTCCGATTCCCTCTTCATCTCTTCTATCATTTAGTGTTTAATAAGCTGGGTCTTGCCCCCCTTCAGGTAAACCCTAATTTCTTTCGCATCCTTTCGGCACTGTTGGTGCGCCGGAAATTAGAGGCTCTGGATTTGACCCTTGCCGACCTTCTGCTTACTTACAATATATCTAAGCATGGGACCGAGCCTGGTCGCTTCTTTTTTACCTCTCCCCTTCATCAAAGGATATGCACGAACCTTCCTTCATCCGAAAAGAAGTGGAAAGAAATGATGGTTATAGTTAAAGGAAAATGGTTCGTGTCCCAATCAAGTATGCTCCCCATCCCGCGCAAGTTCAGGAAATTAGGTATAGAATACTTAACCTCCCTTCATACCAAGTGTTCTGGCTGTTTTCCTTGCCAAGTCTTAATGTTTCGTCGTACTTATGAGTTTCTTGGTGTTTTTTCAGCTACATTCCCATCCTCCGCGGCAAGGAACAGACTTTCTTTTCTTGAGGAACGAGTCTGGAGTGACCCCTCGCCTATCGAGGACCTGCTCACTTCTTCAAACCTCAAGGATATTGCCTCTAGTGCTGTTGCTGCAGACCTCATGGATCTGTCTCTACCATCCTTTGACAATTTCCCCATGACTGAAGAGGAGATACGTAGGGCTGAGGCTTTAAAAAAGAAAGCCGAAGACGCCCAACCCTTGGTTGTTATTAGATCAACTGAGGATGAGGTGGAGGTTGAGGAACCACCAATGAAGAAATCTTGCCTCAACCCCTCATCCTCTGGCAAGGGCAAGGTCACTTCTAAGAACAGAGGGAAAAAGGCTGGAGAGGCCGAACCTGAAGATGAAGTTCGGGCCTTTGTTCTGGCTGAGACTAGGGCTCCTTGGACTCCTTCCTTCACCAGGGCTGACAGGTCAGTCCTGCACTCGGGGGATTCTGTGATTACAGACCCTTCAGCTGCACTGGCGGTGGCTCGAGGAATGTGGCTCCCAAAGGATGAGGAAGCCATCAGCCAAATAGGGTTGGAACAACTACTCCCCTCTGCCCCGGTCCGAGCCATAGAGGTTCGCATTGCTCCTTTCAGAATTATGTTACTCTTGCTCGCTTATGCTTCTACTTATGCTTATATTTGCTCCCCTGTTAAACAGAGTCTATTCCACACCATGGCCCTCTGCGCCACTGCTGAAGCTCAATCCCTCTCCATCAAGAAGCTGGAGAAGGATCTTGACAATGCAGAGAAGAGAGCCACTACTGCCTCTACCAATCTGAAGATAGCTTCTGAAGCCAAGGATGCGTATAAGAGGCAGTTGTCAGCCTCTGAGGCTAAGGTGGATTCTCTTCAGGCCGAAATTCAACGCCTGACCGAGACTCTTACTACTTGCTTCAAGGCGGGGAAGTAAATGCAGGGGCGCTACTCCTGTCTGGCACACCTGGCTAGTGCTAAAGCGTTCCGGTCTGGCTATAATCAGGGCTCAGGCCCTAAGACGATGGATCCGGACGCTTTTGACAAGCAGGTGGGGGTGCACTTCCCATACGATGAAGGGCCAGAGGCTTTGGAAGCTGAAATCCGCTTTGCCGAGATGGTGAAGGCACATCTGAAGGGTACTCCAAGCTCCCCTGCTCCTGCGGCTTCAACTCCTCCTACCTCAAGTCCTAATGTTGTGGATGCTTTTGAATCTACTCCCTTCGATCCGAAGAGGAAGTAGAACCATGTATTTTGTTTTTATGAACAGCCTGTTTGGGATAATGAATATAACTTTTTGTTCTAGGCTTACCTGACTTGTTTTTGCTGTATGCTCTTGTTACTGTTCATATTTCTCTGACTGGTAATGTGTTTAAACAATAAACATTGTCTTTATGCTTCGGATTTATGCTATCCGTGAAAACGCAAGGATTGTGGGAAGAAGGAGATCCTTTTAACAGTTTAGTTGATATCGCAGGATGATTCATATGGACAATGATTTAACTATTAAATGAACCCTCCTTGCCTTGTAGTAGACGTATACATACTCTTTCCTTCTCGTGTGCTCCTAATGTGGGGTGGATTATGATGAACTTATGATATATCCGCATCCACAGGGTATTAAACACTTGGAGTCCGGAGGAAAGAGTTCTGATCCGAGCACCAGAGGTCTAAAGCGAATTACCCCTCGGCACTGAGTGTGGAGGAATATTGCTGAATAGGACACTTAGGGTCCAAATCTATCTCGGATACTTAGGATTAAGGCGAATTATCCCTCAGCACTGAGTCGTGGAGGACTAGTGCTGAATAGGACACTTAGGGTCCGAAGCTGTCTCGGATGCTTAGGATCCGAGGCGAATTATCCCTCGGCACTGAGTCGTAGAGGACTAGTGCTGAATAGGACACTTAGAGTCCGAAGCTGTCTCGGATACTTAGGATCCGATGCGAATTATACATTCCCTGGCGTGGAGCCGGAGGGGGGTTTTGCCGAGCCGAACACTTAGGGTCTGAGGCGAGATTTTCGCCGAGCCGCCGAACACTTAGAGTCCGAGGCGAGATTTTCGCCGAGCCGAACACTTAGGGTCCGAGGCGAGATTTTTGCCGAGCCAGACACCTAGGGTCTGAGGCGAAATTTTTGCCAAGCCAGACACCTAGGGTCTGTGGTGAATGACCTACTCTCCGGCGCTGAGCCTGAGGGGAGGTTTAAATGAATCACTCCCCGGCGCTAAGCCAAAGGGTAGGTTTTGCAGAGCCGGACACTCAAGGTCCGAGGCGAATGAACTACTCCCCGGCGCTGAGCCTGAGGGGAGGTTTAATGAAGTACTCCCCGGCGCTGAGCCTGAGGGGAGGTTGTGCCGAACCGGATACTTAAGGTCCGAGGCGAATGAACTACTCCCCGGCGCTGAGCCTGAGGGGAGGTTTGTTTTATATTTTTCCTCAAACCACTTATCATGAGGCCAAGGACTCAAAAATGATAGGAGGCCAAGAAAGCGAGTAACAGTGGCGGTGAAGTTTTCCATTTGTTGACTTTAGAGACCTGCCTCCTCCACTGATACTCCCTTCTTGGCAACCAAATGTTGTGGACCACGCATATATGAACCGCATTTCTTTTCTATTTCTATCCGATGTGGGACATAGACTAAATTTTGTCAAAAAGGTCGGTGTAAGAAATGCCTCTGGTATTGAGCTTGACAGCCTTAAATACCAGTGGGCCATAACTCATGTTTTGTTGCTTTTTTCCCTTTGTTTTTTGTTTTTTTTTTTTGTTGTGAAAAAATCAGACGAATGCCATGCATAGTATGACCCCCCATTTTTATAAAAAGAAACAAAAATAGAGGAAAGTGATACTGAATATAGAAGCAAAATAAAGAAAAGCTTGGCCGACTGTGGACATACGC